TAATACCTGATGGGCTAATCTTGCATCTGCCCACAGTCTCTGGGTTTTTATAAGGTGGCTTGGCCCAGAAACCACTTAGTGTAAGTATTGGGCCCATTGAGATCCCATGGTGATGGGCTCAGGGGTCACTATCCATTATAGTGAATTCGGCCAAGCCTTGTAACAGAGGCTAGGCTGAACCCATGTGGTTGATGTGTAGATCAATGTTTGGGTCCCACGCCATACAAGGAAGCCCAACTGGGCAGCAGTTTGGAGGCCGAATGAGCACATAGATTTAATGGGCGTAAAGCCCAATTCGAACTGGTTTAATTTGATTAATTAAAGAGGGGCAGTTCTGGGATTTAGATCAGCAGATAGGATAAGGAGTTATCCCTATCCACTCAGAGAGTCCAGATCCAAATAGAGATTTGGATCAGGAAGCTCCTAATAAGATTAGGAGGGCTGATCTAATCTGCATATAAGATAAGGGTTTATCCTTATCTCTTAAAGAGAGTCCAGATCCAAATAAGGATTTGGATTAGGAAACTCCTAATGAGATTAGGAGCTCTCTTTAAGGCTATAAAAGGAGGAGGGCGAACCTCCAGTCACTCAACCAAATCTCAGATCACAGAAAGAGAGAAGACAGCAACAGTAAGACTGCGCCATCTTCTGCTCTTGTGCCCTCCTCCTGTAGCCGCCATTGCCAGTTCGTTCTCCACTGTAGGAGCGATCAAGAAGGGTTCTTGATACCAAAAACTGATCTGAAGTCGTGCTCACATACCCTCCATCGAATTCTTGCTGAAGGATTCGGTTCTTGTGAAGAACCACTTGCTGATTCTGCTCCACCCTACACTGTGTCATCTTCAGTGGGAGCAGTCTTTGGAGTTTTCCTTGGGTGTGAACACTTTCGTTGGGAGTTACTGCTACTTCGTATCAGGTATATCCCTCTCCTACCTTTTGGTTTCAAATCTGGCTCGGTTTAGGTTCAAGATTGATCCTTGAAAATGCAGATTTTCTAAAACAGGGAATGTGATTCCCAGATGGGAAAGAGAATTTTTTTTGAAATTTCGCCCAACCTACATGTAGGGTTCGGCCATCCATATGATGGATCTCTCATCCCTTCAAAATGAAATAACAGATATTGCCCTTGTCAACAAAGCAGAACATGAACTTAAAAAGTACAGCATCATTTTGAATATCCCAAGACCAAAAAGGGCAGCCCAACCCAACGCATAAGGATCCTGCCAAAGTGGAGTCTGGGGAGGGAATGATGTATGCAACGTTACCCCTGTAGATACAGAGAGGCTGTTTCCAAGATTTAAACCCTGGTCACCCAAGTTACAATGGAGCAACCTAACCATTGAGCCAAGGCCCACTCTCTTCAAATATCCTAAGACTCCTATACAATAAAATGAAAGGCAGCAGGAATGAAAACCTACCTACTGAAGAAGGGATAAATAAACAAGGTCAATACCCAATGTCGGTCCCAAACATCTAGGGTTTGGGTAAGGGTAGACTGGAAAAGGAATAAATGAGTAACATAAAATTCAAGCCTTGTGTGCTGATGAGTTTATACACTCCAAAAGAAAACAACATACAAATGTTTCTCTCAATTTTCATATTGGTTACCTCAACTTGACATTTTATGAGTTCTGTATAAGAAAGGTAAGGGAGCCTTTTTTAGATAAGATAATGTAATTTATTAAAATCTCATAACATAATTACAGTTCATGGGGCAGCAAGAAGAGCAAACAAGATCCGATACAGTGAGTGACCGAGTGGCTGTATGCAAACAAAACCAAACAGGCAGAAAAATCAATACAAATCAAAACAAAATACCTAAAAACCTCATAGAGCAACAAGGCACTCCATTTAACCACAGACACACAACAAAAAGTTTACCTTCAACACCTAGCAAGTCTCAATAATTCATATTCCTGATTTTTTTGAAAATAAATAAACAAGAAATTTTATTAAGAGAAAAGAGAAGAAAAGATTACAAATATATGATAAGACATTACCCTCAATTTACCTGTCTTGCCAAACATCCATGTTAGCTGATTTTTTAATTGACAGGTGACCACCTATTACTGCATTCTAGTTTCACTTAAAAAAATTTTTTTTTGAGAAAAAGTAAGGTAATTGTATTAATGCATATAACTGTAACATATTACACCTTTGGTCCACAAAACTCCATGTACAGCCAGCAACTATACAAAAAGTTACCAAAAAACCAGTCTCCCCCAAATACATACAAGAGACCCCCAACTAAATCAAGTAAACAAAAAATCCAAATCAAAGTATTGATGGTGGGGGATATGCTTAAACAAGTCCTTGGCTGACAGCCAGGAATGTAAAGTAGCCAATGCCCGAACCACTAACTCATCTAAGGAGCACCTTTGACCTTCAAAAATCCTACTATTTCTTTCTGTCCACAGGACCCAACACACTACACGAGGGATCATACACCATAACACCTTACCCCTGTTACTTAAGCCTGTCAACTTCCAAGAGAAGCAGTTCAGCTAAAGACTTGGGGCAGCACCACCTCACATTTAGCAGGGAGCAGAAATGACAGAGCAGCAAATGGGCAACCTCACAATGAATAAATAGGTGATCCACCGATTCAACTTCTCCATTGCACATCACACAACTTGTGGAGGGCAGAACCAGACCCCTCCTGATTAACTGCTCTTTGGAGAGACATTTACCATGCACTGCAGTCCAGACCAAGAAGGAGACTTTAGTAGGAATGTGAGGAAGCCAAATCTCTTTCCAAGGAAAAGCCTGAGCCGAACCAGCACTCACATTTGAATAAAATGACTTCACTGAGAAAATCCCATCCTTAGTCCATTTCCAAATTCTGGTATCTTGCTGATTTGGGTTCAGTTGATATTACTGAATCGCTTGTAGCAGCTCTAACAGATCAGAGAATTCCCAATCATTGAGATGCCTCCTAAATTTTGGACACCAGTATCCTGTATTTCCCCGCCGCTCAAACTGATCTGCCACCACCGCATTCCTGTCTTCTGCTATAAGGAATAGCAACGGGACGGTCTCCATTAGGGGGACACCATTGCACCAGATGTCTCGCCAGAAACTAATCCTCTTGCCATCCCCTAAATTTAGCCTAATCCCTTGGATAAAAAGAGGATAAACCTTCTCAATTCCTTTCCAAACTGAGCATCCAGCAGGCCAGGGTGCAGGTCCAGGATCCCATCCATAGTTTCTAGTTCCAAAATTTTCCGCAATTATCCACCTCCAGAGAGCTTGGGGGCTAGAATTAAAGAACCACCACCATCTACCTAGGAGAGCAGTATTTACCAGCCTAAAATTTCTTACTCCTAAACCCCCTGCCGAGACAGGTTTGCATATGGAATCCCACTTAACCTGATGGATCTTTTGTTCACCATCCTTCCTGCACCATAAGAACTTCCTTTCTAGCTTTTCCATCCTTTCAGCCACCTATGTTGGGATTGGAAACAGAGATAAAAAGTGGATAGGTAGATTTGCTAGGACACTTTTCAGCAGAGTAATCTTAGAACCCTTGGACAAATACCTGGACTTCCAACCCCCTAGCTTCTTCTCTATCCTTTCAATCACCGGGTCCCAAATGGATTTGGAGTGACATTTTGCTCCAACTGAAAGACCCAGGAACCTGAAAGGGAGTTTTCCCACTTTACACCCAAGCTCTGCAGCCAGATCCTGGATGTTATTGACCTCCCCAACTGGGATAATTTCACTTTTCTGAAAATTCACCCGTAATCCAAAGATCACCTCGAACCAAACCAGAATCATCCGAAGATTACTT